AGAAAATCTCTTCATCACAATTAAAATTAGGGGAACTGCAATGAAAAGTTTAAAAAATGACGGAATTTCCCTGGAAAACTCACTGAAAACACGTTCATCATTCACATTCTTGACGCAGTACCACAATCCAACCGGAAATACGGCAGCCGTGATATGCAAATCGAAGAAGAACGACACCCACGTGGTCGGCTGATGCTCTGACACGGACGCAATAATCGGTATATGAATCTTGGCGTAGCCAGTATCCCATAGCGAATAGAACCGACCTGACCAAGGTGCAATATAACCTGAAAATATCTATTGTGAACCTCTGAATTTTTTATATTCAAACCAAAAGCCACACAACTTCATTGTTACTCATATTGCTTCACTAGTACTCAAATTAAAACTTGAACAGCACAACCCCCTACCAGCATAGGTCAAGAAAGCGATGAACGCAAATCCGACCAGAAATGTTATGGAAACACCACCAATGAACAACGTTACGAATTGTTTACGTGTGATACGACGCTGAGCGTACTTCAGTGCGGCTATTAGCTGAAATATTTCCAGACACCTTATTGGTTATTCCCGTTCGAAACATAGTTAACACTAATGATAATGTCTCAAAAACTCGTCAAAACAAAATTNATAAAGACGAACTTATAAAACAGTCACCGAAGTTACTGAACCAATATCTACCAAAACTGCTTCTAACCAACAATTATGATAGATGTTTAGCAATAAACATTCCACAAAGACAATACTCACCAACGTAAATCTTCGATGAGTATCGTCCAATCATAATCAGCGCAAGCACGTGTAGTGGAATGAGATTGATGATGAACACATAACCACCCCATGCGGATACCATATAGAAGTAGGATAATGCTGTTAAAGACGCCCAAAATATAGAACCCGTTTTCACCGATCGAACCCACAAAAAGTATGTGAACTGAAACATCCCACAAACAAAATTAATCACTTCAAACATCCAAATGATACCATCAAATAGTTTATCCCCAAATCCCTCATGTTCAATCAATCACATAAGCAATAACGACTAAGACATAAACAACCTCGCAAAAACCCGGAAACTGCTATCGATTAAAAAACGTTCTTCTTAAACTTCCCAAATTCCCATTCCACATTTAGTCAATTGAAACAACTTNNNNGTTACCTGCAATGCGAATATGGCAATACCCTCATTGTCGTATGAACCAGCCACGGATCGACTTGTATATCCAGGTGATATGGCAATAAAGCATGCAGCAAACAGACCTGCACCAGGTGTCCACAATTCCTTTGTTAAAAAATATGTCGCTATTGCCGTCAAACCACTAAAATATAGAAATGCCATCACAAATAACAATCAAACAATCAAACGAAAATGTTCTTACAGCGTTTTCCAATATTCATTTCTTAAAAATCTCAGATTTCTCAAATATCCGCACCATTTACATTCCATGAACACTTACAAGTCCACATGTTGCAAGCAATCAATTGGACAAAATTGACAGTTTTTAACCAAATTCATCGCAAATTTTAATGAACCTGTTACACATGACGATTACAATTCCAGTAAAAATCTTCAGAAAAATCTGAATGACCAATCAAAAGAATACGTGAACATACCTGAAGGTTGGTGCAAGAAAGACGCAAACATCACGAATATGAATTGGAATGTTGAGCAGTGAGAGAATATAATGAATACCACCTGAGGTGAGCATCAGCCCAGGATATACCTGAAAAAGAAATCGCATTATATGGACCAAGGGATATGAGAGAATAACTATGGCCGATCTGCAAAAGAATTTCAAAAAACGTTACAAAAACTTACCGTTCCACCAACGATTCGTCCAAGCGGATACCAAGCGCGATCATCAAACCAATTCAGAAAATTATAAAATCCATGTTCTACCATATGATGTGTTGCGCGATAGTTGAACCTAAACAAACCTTGATTCACTTCAGCTCAACAAAAATCAAAATTATGCATTTGTTCAAATGGGAAACTTTGTGCAACGACTGAACAAATAATTTTTCATAAGATCACAATACTATACAAAGAATTTATGAATTATATGAGAGAACTCTGATGCAATAACAATATAGAACCAAACAAAATCATCACTTAAAAACAATCAAAACATTCGNGAACGTTCAAAATGTTTAAATGAAAACAAAAAGTGCAAAACACGAGGTGTTGCTGATATAACGAGCTAACTGTCAAAACTTACCATGGATCAAATTCGTGAATGATCGATTCGAAACGAACAATTGCGAAGAGACGCGATGCAAATCCGACCAGCCATGCCAGTATCAAAATAACGAACGTCAACAAACTGGTGATACCGACTGAGTTCGAGAACACCTTAGTGCCAGTATCGGTCGCTGGTGACGACGAAGACGGAGTTGTAGCAGAAGATGCACTACCCGCCATACCCACACTGAAACAACGACACCAATAAATAGCATCAATAAAATTATAACATCAATGCTAAATTTCACACGACAATAAGACAACGAACACTGCAATGATGAATAATCGTATTATATGATAAATAATCGAAAAGACAATTCAAAATCAAACAGAACGATGAAATGAGATCGTCATCGACACGTCAGCTTTACAACGTGCGTTAATCTTCTTGGCTTATAGCAAAATGACAATCACACGCGAAACGTAACTCGATAATTCTAACTTAATGGCGTTTTGCGGTTAGCGATTGGCAACACCTCAACCAACAACTAATCTTCCACTTGTAGCCAATTTGATTGCTAGCGTCAAAAATAATTACATTTTAAATGATTTCATTAAAATGATGGAACACATCAAATGAAAAAGCAAATGAACACTTCCATTCGACAACGAAAATGAAATTGAAATGAAAGCGACAAAGTCATTC